AAAGGATTTTTAGGAAAACCTGACATGTGTCTCAGAGAATTTGGAGATAATTGGTGCTACAGATACAATCTAGGTCGACTACACATACAGCAAAGTGAGGAGAACTACACTGGGTATGAGCTGTACTTACATCAAAAACGGGGTGAGCTTAAAGTGGACAAACCAAGTAAGTACCCTGTAAGAACCATAACAGGATCCAGCCTAAGAAGGCTGCCTGGCAGAGAACAGGAAACCCCAGGGTACACAACCAGGTGTGAAATAAAATAACAGCTACCCCCACTTCTGGCACAGAGCTCCTAAAACCCTTGGAGTTTTCTGGGTGATAGGAATGTCTTTTGTTCTAATGAAGTGACTCTAGGTGGGCTCCTGGATGGGGACTGGTCACCAGGAAGACCAGATATGATTAGAAGTTTGGAACTTTCAGCTGTACTCCTCATTCTCTGGAGAGGGGCTGGAAATGGAGTTAATGACTGATCACGACCGTGTGATGAAGCCTCCATAAAATCCCCAAAGTATGGATTCTGGTAGCTTCTGAACTGATGAACCCATGCAGGTGCTGGGAGAATGGTTCTCTCAGAGAGGGCATGGAAGCTCTGTACTCCTTCCCACATACCTTATGCATCTCATGTTCAACTACATCTTTTCTCACAGCCTTTCATAATAAACCAGGAAACAGTAAATAAACTGTTTTCCTAAATTCTGTGAGCTACTGTAGCAGATTAACTGAACCCAAGGAGAGGGTATCATAAGAACCTCAATTTATAGGCAGGGACTTGCGACTGACATCTGAAGGAGGCGGACAATCTTGTGGGACTGAACACTTAACTTGTGGGATCTGACAATAACTCCAGACAGATAGTGCCTGAAGTGAACTGAATTCTAGGATACCCAGCTGATGGCACAGAGAATTGCTTGGTGTGGCAGAAACACCTATCTGTTGTCAGAGTGTTGTGACTGTGTAGTAGTATGAGTGGTAAAGGACAGACACACAGGAGAAGTAAGTTTTATCTTACACACCAGGACACACGTAGGGCATGGTCATCTACATAACCTAAAGTTTAAGAAAGCAAAAATTATTTAAAGCTAAAATTTGAAATGACCCAAATGTTCATGAACCACTGAATGGGTAAACAAATCATATATCCATACACAGAAAACTACTTGACATTAAAAAGGAACAAACTACTGATATAGGCAACACTAAGAATGAATTTCCGAAGAATTTAGCTAAGTGAAAGAAGCCAGACACAAGACTACAGACTGTATGATTCCTAATTAATGAAAAACTAGAAAAGGCAAAACTATAGTGAAAGAAAGCAGATCAGTGGCTGCCTGGTGCTGAGAAAAGAGATTGACCAAAGCAGGACACCAATGTCCTTTTTAGGGTTATGGAGATGCTGTACAACATGACTGTGGTGTTGGTTACATAACTGGAATCTGTCAAAATTCATCAAATTGTAAGCTCACACTTAAGAAAAAAAGTATAATTCTATATCCTAAGGCTTTAAAAAACAAAGTAACTCAAGAAAATTGGAAAGTGCCAACTTAAAAAAATCCTGATCCCCCCAAAATTATTACTAATCAATAACACCATGAATTGGTACCTAAAGAGACATGAATTACTATGGCCTCAGCTTTCCTGTACTTCAAATGACAGAATGACAAGTATAGAATAAAAAAGTGCATATAACAAAAGATGACCATGGAAGGAACATCAAGAAAGTAGTGGAAATTAGGATTTAAAATTACATGGACAACTAGATCCAATTAATTCAAATAATGAATCTGTGTTAAGATGAGACAAAGTTTCTAATGGTACCATACAAAGTTCTGTTCAGTATTTATCCAAATTAAGAATAAAGATATAAAAAGAATGCTTATTTAATCTACATGATACAAATCAAAATAATGGTCTCAAAGGATCAATACACTAAGATGAGCTGTATCTAACAGGGTAAATTTCATACAGATAACATTAGACTCAGAAGAATCAAATACAAAGACATGGTTGAAGAAATCTATCTCAAAGCAGTTCATATAATAGCCAAGACTTTTCAAACACTTCATGCATTATTCAAAGCAACTTACATATATTTATCCAATAACTTATCTATTGAACACCATCCATATGCCAGTTACTAAGCATCACAGATATACCAGTGAAGAAAACAGACACAAAGCTTACATTGTAATGATGTAACCAAAATAAATAACTAATAGAGTAAATGAAATGGGTAAAAATAAAAAAGTTGACAGAGATCCTATGCATATTATGTATGACTATTAAAACGAATGCTAGGATCTCACTGAGAAGGAAACTTCTGAGCAAAGACTTGAAATAGGTAAAGTAATGATCCTACAAATATCTGCAGGAACACATTTCCAAGCAGTATGTGGAAAGATTTGGAGGCGAAGTGTCCTACTGTGAGTAAGATGACAAAGGTTGCTGTGGCTAGAGCAGAGTAAAACAGAAAAAGGAGACAGAAAAGCAAAAGCGTGGAAAATGGTAAAGATAGTGAAGGGCCTTGCCGACGATCAAGAGGTCTCTGGCTTTTATGGTTGACTCTTGAAAAACACAGTAACACCTGTTAGGGGGGCTGACAACCCCCACTCCCAACCCCAACCCTTGCAGTCAAAAATCCACATATAACTTTAGACTAACCAAAAATTTAACTAATAGCCTACTATTAACTGGAAATCCTACTGATAACATAAAGAGTTGATTAACACATCTTGTATGTTATAGGTATATCATATACTGTACTCTTAAAATAAAGCTAGAGAAAAAACGTTTTTTCAAATTGACACCAAATTCCAAAAATTTTCCAATATATTTATTGAAAAAATTCCACATATACATGGACCCAGCAGTTCAAATCCCCGTTGTTCAAGGGTCAACTGGACTCTGAGTGACATGGGGAGCTACTGGAGTTTTGCGCACAGGTGTGGCATGATTTGACTCAAATTTTAAAATGATTCTTCTGATGACTTCTAGATACATTTACAAGGCAGAGCCACTTCGTTGATGGATTAACATACAAGGTGTGAAAGAGAGAACTAAAGCATAACTTCCAAATTTCTAACTTGAGCAACTAAAAAGGAAGCATTTCTATTAACTGGAATGAGGAAGGCTGCAGAAGAACAGATTTGTGGGCAAAGATCCAGAGAGTTTAGGTTTAAGGTGTCTACTAAATATCCAGAAAGAAGGATCATGCAAGCAACTGGTAAGTCTTAAAGCTCCAGGTTATGTCTAGGCTAGATACACAAATGTTGAAGGATGTTAGAGGCTAACACCACAAGACTTTGAAAGAGATCACTAAAGGGAGTAAAGGTAGAGCAAAGTAACAGAACTCAGCACTAGGTACCCCAATCATGTAAAAGATCATCAAAAAGATGAGGAGGGACTATAACTCATTGGGTATTCACATATTTAATCCTCACTGATACCCGATAAATTATTATTCCTACTTTATAGTTGAGGTATCTCCAACTAGCCAGAGATTGCGGAGCTAAAAAGTGCAGAATCAGGGCTCAAACCTAGACAATCTGGCCTCAAAGCCTTTTGATGAACAATATCTTTTCTTTCTTCTCTAAAAGACTTGGATTTTAGAGTAATTCAATATTCTGATATTCAATATCACTGTCCAAAAGAGCTAATGGAACCTCAGGCTACATAAAGAAATGGATGATCAAAACTAAAGGAGGTATTACAATAACTGTAGCACTTTTAAGACCTCATCTGAAGACTTGTACTACATTCTGGCTGTCACACTTTAGAGTAGGTAGGTGTTCAATAAAGGTTAGTCATCTTTACCACCGTCATCATTACCGTAGATGCATACATAGCTGGTCCACAAATCTCTGAAAGTCACTGTCAGTGTCATTCCGTTTTCCCAAACTAAGCAAAAGGGCATCAACTGAGTAAATTATTTTAAATCGAAATACTAGTTTTTCAATTTCATTTGCAATCGACTAGACCAGTCAATTATTTTAAGGACAACAGAAAAAAAAAATTACATATGTCTTAATCATCATTTGACTCAGGGCACAAAGTTTGTTAAGTATACCAGTTTAAAGTATCAATTTCAAAAACTATAAACTGCTTCCTGGGATGAGCCACACATCTAGCCATATTCTAGCTTCACTTCCAGCATTACCCAATAGCACCTTTCTGGGATGATGGAAATGTCCTGTGGAAACGCTTTCTATATGCACTGTCCATTATAGCACACACACAAACCTTGGGTGCCACAGAGCACCTGAAATGTCAGCTAGTGAAACCAAGGAACTAGATTTTTAATTCTATTTAAATTAATCTAAATAGCCACATATAACTAATGGTTACCTTATCAGACAACCCTAGTTCTAGATTAAGACCCAACTTTTCAGGATATCCACGGATATTTGCCCACAACTATAAAACTGATGACGAAGATAACACAAAAAAGCAGAAGTACAGAATTTAGATGAGCATCAAAATATTGCCATGCTTATCAATTACTATCCTTTTCTTCCATTCACCCTCTTTAATTTAGGATTACTAAGAGTGGTTACCCTTGTAGTGGTTTTCTAATTTACTGTTTGATTACTGCCAGAGTTTTCGGAACACTACGTGCTAAATAAATTTAAAAGCCTCTGTGTTGTCCACCCCGCACCCCTCCCCCCAACCCTCTGAGAATGAATATACATTATGCGTCTCATTCCTTCTGTGTCTCAAATTCCGCTCCCTGGAAACCTGGACTGACAGCGGGCTCTTTCGAGATCGTTACCCTCCAAGGGCACCTGCCCTCCGTGACTCCATGAGGGGGTCGGGGTGTGGAAGGGGCGGTTTTGGATTTCCTGGAGTAACGGAAAAACCACCTCCAGGAGTTCATGTGTGGGTGTGTTCAGGCGAGGCGAGGTAAAGCAAGGAAGCGGGCACCAGCTACGAGGAAAGCAGCTAGGGAATTCGCATATGCATAGGGGGATAGGAACAGGTGCCCAGGCAGGCCCCGGGTTACCTGCACATCCCCGGGGAAATAGAGAACGTGGTGCTGCGGCGACAGCTGCGGCTCCTCCTTCGCCAGGTCCTCAGAGAGGCCCCGCCATTCCGCTCCCTCCCCCTTCGCCGCCGTAGCCAGCAGAAGCAACTCGTTGCTGCGCTGCGGGTCGGCCCCCGGCACAGTGGACAGCTGCAGGCACTGCTGCCGGCGGCCCTCGGCCGCGGGGGAACTGCGCGCACCGCAAGTGCCGCCTAAGTTCATGGTTCCGGCCTGAGCGCGGAACGCGGCGACTCCGAGTCTGATCTGCGGCAGCAAGAGCAGCAGCGGCGGCGACCGCAGGAGCCTGAACCCCCACATGGGTCGCTGCCGCGAGAGCCGTTCCGAGGTGGGCAGGTCCTAAGGAGGGACTTCGGCAGGCCACCCAACCGTCAGCGGACAGGCCCGCGCGCAGTCGGCGCGGGGGCGACGACGGCATCAGAGGCCGACGTCAGCGCGCTGCGTGCGTAAGGGGAAGAAGGGAGTGTGCGAAATTCGACCCGGGTTCCCGGCGCGCGACGGAGAGGAGGGGTGTGGTGGCGGGGCCCGAGGAGGGGCGTTTGTGATTGGTGAGTTCTGCCACGGCCGGGAAGTTCGAACAGAGCCAGAGATAAGTACGACCAGTAATCCCGTAGCGAGTTCTGAGTGTATCGTACTCCCGTTCCGGTAGGTGAGGTTTTTCTAGTCCTTCGAGCCTTGGATAAAAGGAATCTTCCCCTTATACCCTCGAGTTTTCTTTGTAGAATACGAGGATTTCTAGGTTCAGGAAATTTATGGTTAGATATGAAATCTGATGCATCTAATTGGTAGCGGGGAGTAGGGCACTTAGACTGGAACAGGAAAAATGGGGACAGGCAATACTTGTTACACAGTTGCTGTCAGTGATGGTCGCAGCCGATGGGATTTGTAGTTACGGTTTTCAAAAACCAGGTTAAGCAGTAGGTGTCCAAGAACCATCTATGGCCGGTTGTGTAGGAATAAGATTTGGCCAAATGTATGTTGAAGGCAAAGAAGGGAGTGGGGAGGGTCCAGTATTCTAAACTCAAATGCTTGTGAGAAAAGGCGCTGTAAAGAACCTTGTGGGAGGGATTTTTAGTGAGCATCATAAAAATTACAGCCACACTTACTGAGGCCTTACTATAGGTTAGGAATTAAAATAAGCACTTCATATATTAGCTGTTCAGAGTCTATATTACATGTGTGTTAAGCATATTGTTTTCTTTGTTTCACATATCAAATATTAACAAATAACCTTAAATAACACAAATGAACAAATGATAAAATGTAATTTTCTTATATATACTGCAGTGACTTCATAGAGGTGTAATATGCTAACCTCTGGTCTACATTATTGGGTTCCATCTGTCATAACAATGTAACCAATCAAAAATGTATTATTAGTAAGTAGATCTACTTTCTAAAAATAACATTAAAAAGAAGCAGAGGCTAATTATATAATAATGAATGTATATCCATAGTTAGGCAACCAGCCTTCATTCTATTTTATGAGTCTGATGTTGCTACTTTTCTCTTGTTAGGTAGATTACTGAAATGTAATCCAAAAACCCAAACGTGTATGTATTTCAAATGCAGATTTTGATATTTGTGGTCAGGTTTTTAGGCTGGCCTTTTAACTGAATCTTGTCACTATTGAAAGGGAAAGGAAGTTCTTGTGTTTTAGAAAGAAAATTGTAGTAAACATTAAATACTACACAGCTGTCTCAGTAGCTCTAAGATAATTGAGTCTTTGAGAAATATAAAGTTAAAGGGCAGAGTAAAGAAGACTGGAGTAAGCAGTTTTTTTCCTCCCAGTCAAGGATTTATACAATCCTACAGGAGCCACTTCCAGAAAAAGTAATGGCTGTCAATTCATCAGCTGAGATATGTATGTCACTTATGGTAAGTATTTGACATGGTAATTCGTTGTCATAGGTCCCATTGATATTACTGTAATATCTGTTTTCTTTCTCTATGCCCTGCTCCTTTTTCCAGGAAGACCAATTTTGTAAATCACTACTTTTCTAACAATAACAGGTATAGACAGCCCAGCCCTTCTCCCCTTCATTCTCTCTTAGAGCTGGGCTTTCCTTCCCCACAAGAAGTCTATACAAAGTTACTGTAAGCAGTTGTTCCCCTTCTTTCTAACAGAGATCTCCACAGAGATTTTCTTACATTTATAGTGCCCAAAAGGCTTCAACTCATTTCTGGACTCCTGATTGTTTTCAAGGGATTCTGTGGGGCTCTCAAAACTTTTGTTATGCTACTCACTATAATAAATAGAAAAAGTTGCAAAATTGGAAAGAATCTGAGAAAGGCTAATTTACATTGGAAAGGACAACATTAAAAGTTCACAAACTCTGAAATCTACAAAGTCAAGGCCTGTATTGTAAGTGGAAAAATTGGCCATATGTAATACAATAGAGAATGGTAAAGAGTGGAGCAAACTTGAGGGACATGTCATATTTGAAGGAGGTAGTCACTATTCACTACCAGCCAGCTGTAAAATGTAGGCAACATTTTGTCAAATTCAAATTTTTCAAGAGAAGCAAGATACACAAATTTTTGTGTCATTTCCCAATTTATTAATGTTGACAATGTATTAAAGTTGATTTTAAAACATTGTATCAAATTAAATGGATGCATAAGCCAAATCTGACCAGTGGGCCACATATGTACATTTTCTCAGCTAAAAGGTAAAATAAATGGATACAAGAAGGCAAAGAGAGGGAGACTCTCAAGATGGCAGTGTGAGTAGGGTGGCGAAAATCTCCTCCTAAAACCATACATATTTTGAAAATACAGCAAATACAACTATTCCTAAAAGAGTGACCAGAAGATACAGTACACCAGCCAGGCTACATCTACATCTGTGAGAACTCAGCATCTCACGAAAAAGGTAAGATACAAAGCCATGACCCAGTGGGACCCAAGCACTTCCCACCCCACCCCCAGCTCAATGGCGGGACGAAAAGAATCAGAGTGGGGAGGGAGTGGAAGCACAGGACTGCTACATAACCAGCCCTAGTAATCTGCCCTGGGAGCACAGACACACATTGCATGGTTTATTGGACATTAGAGGAATGGAAAAGCAAAATCCAGAGCACAGACACACATTGCATGGTTTATTGGACATTAGAGGAATGGAAAAGCAAAATCCTAGACTATGACTGCGAACAGGTTCCCACAGGCAGCTGCTCTGGGGCAAAAGAAAAGCATCTGCTTTAAAAGTCTTAAAGGGACAAGGGTTTAACAGGTAGACAAAATTGTCCTGGCACACTCAACCCATCAGGCTGGGAACTTTAAGGAACTTCAAGCACCCTAAACCCCTGGGCAGCAATGCAGCTCCAAAAGCCCCTCATGGTGATAAGCAGCCTACCGTTCATTATCCCCTGCCAGCACTGCAAGCAAACTGGCTGACCCGCCATTGATGTGGAGCAGCCGGGCAGCAGTCCTGCTCACAGCAACAACACAGAGGCTTCTCCCAGCATGGCTAACCAGGCCAGAACCAGAGGCTTCCCCCTCCCGGCATTTAACCAGCACAGACAGTGGAGACCCGCAGAGTCCAGAAGGCACAAAGGGGCTTTATTCTCATGGTGAACATGCACTGATTGCCTGCAACCCCCACCAGTGCCCTAGGCCATCCCGAGGGCTGCCCTGCGCACAGCAGCTCAGGAGATTAATCCAGAGGCTACCCCCTGCACCTGCTTGACCGGCACAGGCAGAGGAAACTGGCGTGGAGTCTGGAAAGCACATAGGGGCTCTGTTCTCGTGGCAAACACACACTGATTGCCTGAAACCACTGCCAGTGCCCTAGGCCATTGTGAGGGCTGCCCTGCCCACAGCAGCTCAGGAGATCAACCCAGAGGTTGCTCCCTGTGTGAGGGTGGTTGGCACAGGCAGAAGAGACCAGCGCAGAGTCGAAAGCATGAAGGGGCTCAGTTCTCGTGAGAAAACACATGATGCTCGCCTGTGACTCCTGCCAGTGCCCTAGGCCATGCTGAGGACCGCCCCACCCACAGCAGCTCAGGGGATTAACTAAGAGGCTTCCCCCTGCACGCGGTTGACTGGCACAGGCAGAGGAAACTGGCGCTGAGTCCAGGAAGCACTCAGGGGCTCTGTTTTCATGGCAAACACATGCTGATCGCCTGCAACCACCACCAATGCCCTAGGCCATACCAAGGGCTGCCCTACCCATGGCAGCTCAGGGGATTAACCCAGAGGCTGCCCCCTGTACCCACTTGACTGGCACAGGCAGATGAAATGGACACAGAGTCCAGGAAGCATGTAGGGGCTCTGTTCTCACAGAAAACATGCACTGCTTGCCTGGAACCCCTGCCAGGGCCCTAGGCCATCCCGAGGGAGCCCCAGCCATAGCAGCTCAGGGGATCAACCCAGAGAGCCTCTGCTCACACAGGCAGCAGAGACCAGCACAGAGTCCAGAAAGCATAAAGGGGCGCCATTCTTGTGGGAGAACACTGCTACCCCCACCAGTGCCCTGGGCCGTGCCAAGGGCTGCCCCGCCCATGGCAGCTCAGGATTAACCTAGAGGCTGCTCCATGTGTGTGGTTCACAGAAACAGGCAGTGGAGAATGACAAGGTGAGCAGCAAGCAGGAAGAGACTTTATTCTCCCAGCTGACACACAAGACACTCGCCGGCAATCACTTCCATGACCATAAAAAGGCAGAAGAACCTTGTTCACTCCCAAATCCCTCAAAAACTATAAAGGGCCTGGTGAGACTGAAATAACCAATCTTTCAGGAAAGAAATTCAAAATAAAAGTCATAAGCATGCTGATGGAGCTATAGAGAAATATGCAGGAGCTAAGGGATGAATTCTGGAGGGAGATAACAGAAATGAAACAAAAAAATGGAAGGATTTAAGAGCAGACTGGTTGAGGTGAGAGACTGTTAATGGAATCAGAGGATCTCTAGGAATGGAAGAATATTAAGAGAACTGTGAGACCAATCAAAATGGAACAATATTCACATTATAGGGGTATCAGAAGAAGAATAAGAGAGAAAAAGGCATAGAAAGTGTCTTTGAAGAAGTAATTATTGAAAATTTCCCCAATCTGGGGAAGGAAATAGTCTCTTAGACCATGAGAGTCCACAGATCTCCCAAAACAAGGGATCGAAGGAGGACAACAAGTCTTACAATAATTAAAATGGCAAATATCAAAGACAAGGAGAGAGTATTAAAAGCAGCCAGAGAGAAAAAAGATCACCTACAAAGGAAAACCCATTGGGATATCATCAGACTTCTCAGCAGAAACCTTACAGGACAGAAGACAATGACATGATATATTCAATGCAATGAAACAAAAGGGCCTCGAACCAAGAATATTGTATCCATCAAGATTATCATTTAAATTGAAGGTGGGATTAAAAAATTCTCTGATAAGCAAAAGTTGAGAGAATTTGCCTCCCACAAACCATATCACAGTGTATT